CCCCCCCCCCCCCCCCCCCCCCGCTTTCAAAATTGCTTGCTAAATGAATATCTGAATAACAGTTTTCAAGGGCATATGGCTGTGGCTGGGAAATCTATACAACCTTGATTTCAAATAGTATCGTACTGTAGGCCCATAGCCAGGGGGAGTTTGAGAGGTTCCAAAGAACTGCCCTTTTTGCCATGAAAGGGACCGCTTGGGTTAAATTATATCTACCTGTAGGTACATGAAGGTTTCATCATAAAAGGTCCATTTTTCTGAAAAAAAAGAGCCCCCTCCCTTTGAAATTGGTGGCTATGGACCTGAACTGCACTAGTTTTCATTAGAAGAAAAAAAAACTTACCCCATCTGTATTTCTGTCATACAAGTCACGTCGGGTAGACTTCAAGTTGGCAGCCAAGGTGGCAGCTCTTTCCTCAGAAGTACCTGAAAGTTTAAAATAGAACTATACTGTGCATCCTTAAAGACTTTCATGAATTGTGTGATTTTTTAAAATGAATTCTAACAGCTTCTTCACTGAATACATGTAGCTATTATTGATTAAAACATAGGAGTTGAATGACATATATGATATGAGAAGTAATATTATTTTGTTCCTGGTTGAGAGTGAGTAAGGGTGCATTCCCAGAGATTTAGATCGATCCAGAGATTTAGATTTAGATCAACCTAACTCCCTAGGGGTTCACGCTAAATTGCAGTCAGTCGAGCGTGCACCATAGTTAATTACCCCCTTACAGCTTTTAGTGTGGCCTTATGTCCCACACAGGACGAAGAGGAATGATGATTACAGCTTTTAGTGGGCGGGACAGATGCCTAAGCCGGTTAAGCTGACAGTAATCTAGTGAGACTCCCCATAGGGATAGATGGATCTAAAATGTATGGGAATGGGGTCTAAGATAAGATATCTGATGTTGCCAAATGCTTAAAGACAATCTTCTTGTTCTGGGATATTGAATATTGAATGGGAACCTAAAAATGTGATTGCAACAGTTTTAATTTTTACCTTTGGACCAATTTTACACACAAAGCCCACGTACCATACATGCACAGCTTTCTTTCGCTATTATACAATTTGATGAATTATCAGAAATTCCAAACTGACGAAGACTACCATCATTATATGTTGTCTCACCTTACACACTCTAAACAAGCATTAAACTAAAAATGCCCTAATCCACAGTTCAGTACAGTATCCTTTTATTTATTTTTTATTTTTTTGATGGGGGCGGGGGGGGGGGGGGTCAAAATGCTTTGTCACAGTTGNCTTGGCTGGTGGTATCATCTCAGCACAAATGCTCAGTTACTATCAAGCTGTTACTCAACCTTGTGGCCATCAAAAGTCTTACCTTCTTTAAACTTATACTGTTCAGTGATATCCTCTCTATCTGGATCCTCCTTTTTCCATCTTGAGAAGGAGTCCACGGCAGTCACCAGGGGTTTTTTGGTGCTTATTTTCTGACCAACACTGGATTATTCACATGTATGTGCAGTTACAAATTGGATAAGATAAAAATTAATGAAAAATATGTTAAAATTTCATTCATAAAGGTGCATTAGCATTCATGTAACCTACAATGAAAAATTGCCAAGACATGTACGTATTTTTTCTGCACAATCTCAGATCTACACAATCACAATTCTACAGTGTATTTGTTGTATCTGTATCATGCCAATTACCTTGCTTTCATGAAATATCTATCCCAGGTCCCATCATTCCGTCTTCGGTGTCTGACCCGGTCGGCGTTGACTTCAGCAAAGATGAATGGCCCATCATAAGGCAGGTACACTTGACCTGCCTTGATAGCATTCAGGGAGCAAGGACCTGCACAGTACACACCTGAAACAATGGGGATTAATACAGCATGACAATGCACCAAGATTTAAATACTTGGATGTGTTAGGTGTGACAAAAGAACAAAATGTTACTTTTGGATTGTGTTAGGTGTGACAATGAACCTGGATGTGAATATCGGGATGTTTTAAGTGTGACAGTGAGCCAGGGTGTGAATATTTAAATGAGTAAGGTGTGGCAATTAATGAACCAAGATTTGAATACTTGGATAGGTTAGGTATCACATATAACCAATATGTGACTTTTTGGGTTGTGCTTGGTGTGACGATGAACCAGGATGTGAATGTTTGGATGTGGTAGGTGTGATGAAGAACTAGGATGTCTCCATGTATTGTATACACATACCATCGCTAAGTTCTTGTGGTGTAGCATCAATGGCCTGCCAGCCCCCACAGCCAGAGGGTAAATCTGGGCGAGCCATCCATACGTCATTCCAAACATGGAAATTCCTGAAAACATGGGAATTCAAAATACACTAAAATGTAGTGAAAATGAGGCCAAAAACTGACATCTGGAATTTTCACTCTCAGAAAAATCAGTTACTTCAGTTTTCATTGTGCTGAGTTTCATGAGTCACTGCAAACAGAACTTTAAATCATCAACATACCTCTGCATATTCCAGTTACAGTTAATTACAAGAAAAGGCAGAAGCAAACTGATAGTAAAGAGGCAATTTTTAAGTGATCTCAGAAACTCTGGGTTAAACTCAGAGAATGCAACTCGAACAATTACCAAGGTTACATGGTCACATGGGCACATCTTACCCTATCAGGAGCAGTGTAACAGCACTCTCATGGAAATCCGTGTCAGATAAGAACTAAGTTGAGTTATTTATTTATTTATTTATTTATTTATTATTTATTTTTTTTTTTGAGAAACTGTGGCCAGCATTCAAAGGATATATGCCATTTTGACAGAATGGTGCACAGCTGTTAAAATATTGTCATCAAATTGATTTTGTGTGTACATAAACATATCGATTGTTATTTTCCAGATTTTATCCAAAGAGTAACTTTGATGCTTTGATGTCAGGTCTGTATTAAGGAACATTATAATTCTTAAAAACGGAATACTTATTTGATATCCATTCTAAATGTTATTTCATTTCTGCAGCATCTATTAACATGACTTGTGTAAAATGTTTTGCAACTTCTATTTCAAATCAATCTAGTGTATCTATAATGCTTGATTGTCTGTCAACTTTGTTTTATATGGGATAGGCAAAGATCAAAAATATCTGTAAAGGGATAATAAAAATTCCTACGGATGGAAAGGCCCTTGAAATTATCAACTCACCATATAGAGTCTTCGCAGAATTCTTCCAGGAGATTTCCATCCATATCAAAGTAGTCATCAATACTGATGGTGCCATCACTGTCATGAGCAGAGACAAAATTGGTCACAGGTCGGCATGGAATGCCAAGGCAGCGGCAAACTGGAAGAGAAGGTCCAATAATTTTTATACTTTGCCACCCACAACATGACAACAATTTTTGAGAATGAGAGAGATAGAGAGAGAGAATGTGTGTGTAAAAAACAAAAAAAAAAACAAAAAACAAAAAAAAAAAAACAAAAACATTTAAATGTTATCTTGAAAACATATTGGGAAAGAAGTTAGTCCTAAATGCCAAAAGTGAATCAGACAGGAATCAATGTCAGCAACCATACTTGTTGTGACAACTCCTGAGAAAACCCAGCACTGTCCATATTTGACTGGCCTCTTCCTCTTCCAGTATTCTTGCAGAATGGCAACGCTGCCGACCCACTTTGTTGGCCTGGTGCCACCCTCGTAGTTACCCGACCAATTTCCCATCAAGATGCCATTGTCATCAGGGGAGTTCGTCTGGAAGTTACATTTTTACATATGATTATTGATTCACCACTCACAACAAGGGCAGATCCAGAGATAATATTTTCTGACAGTCTTTCAATTTTATCTTTGTTGTTCCATTTTCCATTTTTGACTGTCTTCTGATGTCAAAAATTAACTGACTGTCAATGTTAACACTTTAAAAATTCTGACTGCCTACCGGAAGACCAAGAAGAAACCCTCCACCTGCCCCTGCACAAAATACGTAAAACGATGTGTTTTCTCATTATAATTTTTTTGAGACACCATCAAAGGGACACCTCAAGAATACTTTGTCACTTTGTTTTCCAAAGAAGATATCAGCGAAAAACCAGTTTGTAAGTACATTTTCCTGAGAAACAGATTTAATTTAATTATAAAAAGACATGATATGCTAATACTTACAAAGGCAGAAATCTTCCTTGCAATCTGCACGGGATTGCCTCTAGCACTGAGAGCCAATCCAGATTTTTCCAACACTAAAAGGCTGCAGTCTAAGACAAAATCTTCAAACTAAAAATTTAAACAGATATGGTTGTAATATCAATGAAATATAGCATTTTTTCAGACAGATATTCAAATACAAACAATTTCAAAATTGTCTTCATCATATCATCATATTATGAAAAAAATGTTATGAATTGTTATGAATAAAGATGTTATGAATGTAACATACTTTATACCACTACATATAACTTCAAAATCTAAAACATCATCCTAGCCCACAGATGTCCTGGTTTTACACGGATCATCATCAAAAGGTGCAATGCATGTGGTGATTAAAGGAATAATAACTCTTTGTATGAGATCTATATTTCACAATAAAAACATTGTGAACAACTCATAGAAATATGACATATTCTGTTTTACCACAAAAACGGCAGTTATAGCTATTATTCTGATATCTGAGCTTGTCTTTAGACCTTGTGACCTCCATTGGCCATACTCTGTTATAATCTCTTAAGATTTTGATCTCTTAAGAGATTATATCAAAAAAAAAAAAAAAAAAAAAAAACAGGGACAATGTAAAAATGGATTCATTAACCATTAGTAAGTATGGGAAAATTGTTGTTTACCCTAGGAAATTTCATTTTTTGGCCAAAACAAAGAGTTACTATCACTTTAAGGGAAAAGAGTAGAAATTTCCAGGAAATTAAAAATCATTGTTACAATATGCACTCACCCCAGCCCCCATTTCCAACCTTTAAAATCACTTATTCCAGTATTTCTGACAAACTGTTTTGGAAAACATTATTTCCAGATGTTGTTCAAATTTAGTGAGAAACTAGAGTATACTCTAACTCCTACCTGCCCAAAGTTCCAGGGTTTAGAACCAATTTGCTTGGAAGTACCAGCATATATCTTCCCAACATCATTCAGGACATACTCATTCAAGAGCTTGGTATCTGGCATATAGACTTGGTCATCTGAAAAACAAAATAAAAAAACACTGCAATGAAATTCCAATGTAATCTATCTTTTAAATACAAGGGTAATTAAAAGAAAGACAGTCTTCTGGAAGACAGTCAGAATTTTTCAGAACGGTATCTGGCAAATAGACCTGGTCATCTGAAATAGGAAATATAAAACATTGCAATGAAATTCCAAAATGTAATCTTTTCTTTAAATACACAACAACACGGTCCCTTTCTGTACAACTTATCTCCTCTTTTTTATGGTGATTTTAAGCATCACAATCATTATTTTTGTTTGTGGACCTATCGATGAGAAAATTGAAACATTGTGAAAAAAAAAATGCAGCTTAATAAAATAACCTAAACATTGGGTAATAAATAAGTTTTAAGAATCCAAATCAAAACAATGAATTGTATCTTATTAATAATTTATATGTAGTGTTGACTAACTGCTCCTGTTTTTCAGTCAAGAGTCATTGAAATAGCTTGACAAAAAAGGCTATTAATAAATAAAAAAACATCCATATTTTTAAAAAAAGTAAACATGGCAACCCTCAGATATTTACTAACTTTTATATTTTCACAAATCCGTTGCTTCCATTTTACAAATCCATCTCTTCCAGGACAGAATTTTTTTCTCTTACCTTTGCACCATGGGTTGAACAGCACATAGAATTGTTTGGGGAAGAAATATCGGAATAGTCTCGTCGATCCGTCGTTCAGTTTGACAGCCGTGTCCACTCTCATGTCCCACTTGCCTATCAGGCAGTCCGGAGGGGTGATGATGCTAACCGTGATGGTATTTCCCACCACAGACACAATCTCGGCTCCCCATTCCTTAGGGCGGTCCTTAGCAGACACATGGAAACTGACACTGGTGCCTTTGCCTGGCTTGGGGAATTTCCCTTTCAAAGGAAAAGAAAATGCAGGTTACGATGCCCTTATTGAATAATTTTTTTTGAAATCCTTATCCAACATGATATAAATCCAAATAATCATGAGAATTACAGACACTCTTTTACATATGCTCCTTTTTAATTCCTATTTTGGGAAAAAGTACACCATAAGAAGTTATGTCCTTCCGCAGGACAAAAATGCAGTGAAAAGTTCTTTTCAAACTTGCTGAATATTTGCAAAACACAAATATACAGACATCCTTGCATCTTTAAAAGATTTGAAATAAGTAAAAGAGAACAATGAGGACAAAATGTTCCTTTTTACGAGATGCAGGATATCATGAAGGGGTGGTGGCTTTTTTTTCTTTTTTGACAAAAATGACTTTGGTGCATAAAACATGCCACTATTTCTTTCTTGCTATTTGGGAATTAGTGATCACAGTTCATGGAAAATATAATCATCAATTCACAAATTATAGTAAATAAAACCTGATTCATGTCTCATTGAAAATGCGAGTTGAAAATCACAAATTAGCTATTTATATAATGATTTCATTTCACCAAGGACAAAAAATTAAAAGCTGCATTCAAGAGTGACCAGAATGGGGTGCCTCATGGATCTCGATATATAATATGAACATTTCACGCATCTTGGGAAATAAAAAGTGTCTTTCACGGGTAACGAAAGTACCTAATGAGGCCCTCATTTCGGATGGGGCTGGGTTCCATTTACAAGTGGACAGTGCTTATCTTAAACCACCCATTCAGTGTTGATCTTCTAATGACCTACCATACTCAAAACACAGCTTCAAATCATGCATTTCTTTATTAAAAGGTTTGTCCATTTGGAGATCCACCACAAATGCCTGCCCTCTCCTCAAGATGAGGTATGGATCCTGGCGCTGATATTTATCATCCTCCCAATAGGTAGAGCACTCAAACTGGTCGGTGTGATGGTCCTTAGAATTTTGGGCAATTTTCAGGTCAACCCAGTTACATCTCATCACTGTGTTGTCATCAATTTTCACACTGGATCTCTCTAGAAATAGATGCATGAACAGATTGAATATCATAGTAGAATGCTCTGTAATCAATGAAGGCCAAACACAATTGTATGTCTCCTCCAGATGCATTTGAAAGGTTGTGTGTCACATCTAACACACTTTTCTCATACGGTTTGTGTGTGTGCGTGTTTGTGTGTGTGTTTGTGTGTGTGTTTGTATGTGTGTGAAAGAGAGAGAAAGAGATTGAGAAAAAGAGAGAAGACATTTGCAGAGTAAACAATATCTCCGTAATTTCCAACATGCAGTGTCACAGCTAAGTTTAGAAGATATTTAAGAGAAAATTTGCCAAGAACCCACCATGTTGTGCCTTCCATCGGTCCACTGAACGTCCATCAGCAGTGCTGCCATATGCCTGCCAGAAATGGGGAATTGACACTGGGTCAAAGGCACTTCCCATGCGACTTTCATACGTCACCATGCGCCGACCTCGAGAAAAACCACGACGCGACATGCTGTAATCTGGAAAATGATAATATTAGCATTGAAGATGACTGTTCCTAAATTACTAAAAAATTACCTGATTACTATGAAACTGGCCTATAACAAATAAAATAAAATTGTTTGTCACATATTACAGTCATATAGGAGTGTCAAATATTCCTGTAATGGTAGAATTACTCCCTCTTCTTCAGGATAACACATTTCCATTTTTAATCTTAGAGAGATAAAGCAATAATTGAAAACCTCATTAAAACCTCTAAGCTCCCTTTCAAAACTGTTGCATGCCTTTTACAATATGGCATTTGGCACAAAATCTATTAGAAAGAATATAAAGTGTACGTCTTTCTACTTTTGCTTTTACAGAGCAGAACTGCATGGTGCATGAATACAAAGTCCAACATGACCAACTACATGTACAATGTGTGCAATATATCTGAACATATAAATACAAATGGTTTATATATCTGATTAGAAATACCAATGGTTTATATTAATTCTCTAAAAAATCTTCAATTTACAGGAAGGACCATGTTCCATAAATGACAACCACCAATAAATTTACAACTACATTACCGCCACTATTATATAACCAAGGTCGGAACCTCTGCATCCTCAAGTGTCTTGTTGATCGACTCAAAATCAGCGGATCTATCTACTGTTTATTTCTTTTAAAATCTACCCTTCTGTCTCTGCGTGAGCCTGTCTATCACCTCAAAGTTGGTTAAATTTCTGTTCTGAATCAGTGAGTCTTTAATTTTATACTATATCTACATGTACTGTAGATCAAAACTAAAAAAGCGGCAGCAATGTAATTTGAGATACCATGAGTAAACAACACTTCTCTCACTTGATAAACCTCAAGGGGCTATAAACCTGCAAAACTTGTTCTATATTTACAACCATCTCTCACAAGTTTCAAAACAAACTCATGAAATTCATATCAAACACTTTCATAGCTTCCTTTAAAGCACAATCTCATAAACAGTCCTTTTTCTTGTGCCTATCAAATTGAAAAAAAAATTAATACCAGCATCTCCAATATATTTGTCCTAAAAAAAAGGTTTTAAAGCTAACAGACACACCCTAATATTTCTTCATATTAAAGGCATGTTGCAGTATTTTTCTTATAGGTTAATGTGAGTGATGAAAAAAACCAGCTAGCCCAGAATCCAAGGTCTGATTAAAATCAGTATAATTCAATTTATGTCATTACTGTAACACCATTGCTGTATTTATGCTTCTAGAGACTCATTACAATCGGTGTGATCTCTACCTTTATTTGTATAATCCAGGTATTGGTGTCACTGCTCCACTTCTATTTGCTGACTATATGTATTTTATTCTGCACAACTGATTACTTCATGTGAAAATACAAGATTCTAATTATTGAATGTTACAAGTTCTTCTCCTTATATACGCGTACACAAGGACAATTACATTATAGTGATTCCTAAAGCAAGTCGGAGATATTGAAGCCAATTAACCAAATTCAGACATATTTCTAGAGATCTGAAACATAATTAAACCAAATCTAGGAATTGAAACCATAAATAAAGTGATTCAACCCTTTTAAAACCGAAAACATCCTGTAAAACTTAATGTCATTTTAACTTTGGCATCTAAATACAAGTGATCTTCATGAGTTATAAAGTTTTGATGAAACACCACAGTTGCACAAGCATCCCCAACCCTCACAGAAATTTCAGGCAAAACAGAACAGTTTTAGTTCACTTTTTTGTCAGCTTGTCCCATATTTCAATTTCCAGGTGATCTTCACTTGTATGCTTCATCCCTTTCCATCCCATCAGCCATCCCATCACTATTTTACTTACCTCCGTACATATATATCCAACACTCGCTTCGATATCGCGTCATAACTCAATATCCCACGTCTGATTGCCCTGTCCCTGGTCTGGCACTCCAGCAGGTATACACATTCACTCTTATATCACAATATACTACCAGGGTATAGTATGTAATAAAACAAGGTATGCAAGATTACAAGAGTCACACCTCTCTCCTAAACCCATCCACCTGTAACCAAACAGGTCACAACTCTCAACCTACAATACCTATAAACTGCCTTGCTTTACCTTATGTACATAAAATATATAACAGAATTTCTAGTTGGTTGCACACTTTTCTATGTATTGTGGTAACTTACACCCACAAGGTCCCTGTGGTTACATTTTAAAGAACCTGAAAAGGGCTGGTGTCTCTGATAAATAACTTGTGTCCTGGCATATTCCAGCTTGGTGTTTTTCTTTAGCATTAAAATGTTGTATTAAGATATTTTGAAATGGACAGGTCACTGCAGGTGCAGATTTACATATCCCCTGGATATTTTATAAACAAAATAACTACATGCAGACATCCCTTAACTGACAGTAACTAGCATGAAAAAAATAAGGTAAAGACATTGATTGTACAAAACGGGGGCGTCTCAACAGTCCGAAGGTTCATACAAAACACTTGCAGGTTTGCTGTATCAGTTGAACTTTAATACAAAATAAATGCACTTTTAAAGTACAATTGTAATAGTTCAAAATATAAGCTATTAGAAACATAAAACTTTGTCATTCATATAAAAATGCCTATGTGGGCCAATGACCACCATTTATATCAGTGAGGATGTCACCACTTCCTGTGACACAGGTTGATGAGGGGAGGGCCTGTCTACTGTCAGTCAACCTCCGGAACTTTCCAGGCCTTACAGTCAGGTAACTTACGAGGTGTGGGATGTGCAGTGACATGATGGATTAGAGAGAGTAGAATCAATGAACTGCCAGTTCCCACTCCCTTTCAAATGAAGTGCTGTGTGTGTGTGTGTGTGTGTGTGAGTGTGAGTGAGAGAGAGAAAGAGAGAGAGAGAACCATAAATTGAAAGTGAAAGTGCAAGATAGAGAGATAATACTTTCTTATGAAACACAATTTCATATACCAGTATTTAATGAAGATTACAAATATAACTGGGCAGGTTCAAAGTACATTCAATTCTTTCAATTTGCAGATTAACAAAATCAGCTACTTAAAAAGAAATTTAATTTGTTCAAACTAAAAGCTTATTTACAAGCTTTCGATGATTATGGTGGCATTGTCTCTATGAAGTGCAATAGTAGGCATATTATATCATATTCACAACATATAACAGCATAGAGCCACGTACGTGTCATCACTTCCAGCACGGATATATACTTAATATGAAACTTGTAATAATGCCATGCCAACATGCAGCTATTACCTGATGATATACATATATTCAGGCAGACACTTAAAAAACACCTTGTCTTGGACCGGCATGCACATACTACTAGTATCAGACAGATGATTCATGGCAAATTAAACAATGAGAGACTTTGATGCTAGTTTTTTTTTCTTCCCCTATATCACCTGTGCAGCCTGAATGGTATTTTAAGCCTCCAAGACATCCAGTTGTGCAGTTTTATGTGCTATCAGAATAAGTCAGTACATATACCCGTATTGTAATATTACTTCATGAACCATGGATAAACTATGGGTGCATTTCAAGAGATTTAGATCGATCCAGAGATTAAGATTTAGATCGACCTAACTCCCTGGGGGTTCACGCTAAATTGCAGTCAGCCGAGCACGCACCATAGTTTATTACCCCCTTACAGCTTTTAGTAGGTGGGACAGACGTTTAAGCCGGCTAAGCTGACAGTAATCTAGTATCACAGAGATAGATCAATCTAAAATCTATGGGAATGGGATCTATATGTTCCTTTACTGATTTAACATTAATTTTTCTCATTGCGATTCTTTGGATAAATGAGTGTTAGGGGTGTACCAATACTAATTTTTTTTCAAGGTTCTTTAACTTAAAATTCCAGAGAACACATGCTATTTTAGTATTAAAATTGTCATCAGCTAGAACACCCTATACAAGTTTATTTAATTAAATATCTGAAATGTTGTTTCTGCAAACTTGACACACCCTGAAATGCCAATCTTTAGATATTACAGTGACTTTATTCACGAAACCAGTTCCATATAAGACAGCTAGATAAAAACTTGAAGGAGGGGTTTGTATTTCTTTATAAACTGTAAACCACATAATTTGGAAGGAATCATATGTGGGGGTTTGACTGAGAAACAATTTAAAGGACACTGTCATCGATAACACGTACACCAGTTATACCAGATTTTTTTTGTCTGAACATGTTTTCTTTAACTCCAAGATGAGACAAACAACCCACAGACACCCCTGACACCCACACCAGGTATGGTTTAAGCTTAAGACATTTGACCCTGGCTTATACCAGTATTAGCATTCCCCGCAGTTTGCCACAAGGGATGCATCTTCACTCAGATATCTGTTGACTCAATCAACTACAGTACAAATAGATAAATTTTTTTCTTAAGTACATATACACTCAATGCTGCAGTTTGCAAACTGTTAGTTTTATAGACCCATAGCAAGCAATTGCAAAAGGGGTGTTCTTTTTCTGAAAATGTGTACCTTTTGTCAAAAGATGCTAGTTTACCTAGATCAAATTTATCCAGAGTGGACATTTTCCCAGCTACTGGCCTGTTTTAACACACAAAAATCCAGTATTAACTTTAAGCAAAATAGTATAATTTCCTCACCTCTATCCTGCCTGCAAAATACAATTAAAAAACATCTATCAAAATATGACACCTACAGTGTATACCCTTTCTTTCTAAAAAAAATATGTCACAAATCAAAACAGATGACATCTGCTGCAACACACCTGTTTGGGAAAATGACATCCAAAACAGTTCTTTTAGTTAAGGCCTATAATCACATATCTTATACGATCCTACCTGTCAATATATAATATTCAAAAACTTCATATGCTCTTTAAGTAGAATTTTTTCAACTGAAAAATTATATTTAGTTTCCCGTTGCAGTTCCACGTATATAATATGTTGCATATATGTAGAGGGAGAAAGGTGGCTGCCTTGGGTTGAATACTAGAATCTTGAAAAGGCACTTCTCTTACATTTATTCAAACAGAATTGACATAACAAGTCAA